TTAAAATGTATACTTATAATCCGATACATTTCCCCAAAGCATATTTGTTACTTACCACAAAAATAAAGTCGGAAGAACACAGACTGCAAGAAATCAGGTTTGACGAATCCGTGGTCTGGTGCTTGCAAGTTGGACTCCTAAAAACCAACTTTGCTCATGTGCAAACAAATGCTTGCACAACCGTGGATTATTTCATTTTCCACTCAAGTTTAGGCTGGGGTGTGCGATATACAGTATATCGTCTGCGATAATATGGTATGTGTTGTTTTAACCATGTGCGATCTGACATTATCGAGTATATTTAAAAAAAAACACACACAGAAAGTGTACGCATCATGATTTAGTCAACTAAAACGCATTTAGAATAATCAAAATTCAAGGCATTCTAAATTGTAGGTGGCAAAAATGCCTCTGTATGTCTTTTATATTTATATCATTTAATTGTCACCAAACAGGAGGACAAGACAGATAAGTAAAATCCAACAGTTAAGTTTATTGCTTATACGCTTATATGTGGTGGATAATGAGGTGAAACAGGTGAGGTGAGTTAATAGTCAGGTGAATTGGAGCGGGTGATTGCAAAGTGTGTGGCTGAGGGAACGGGTGACATTAATATAGTTAATCTAGATCACATGAAGAGTGCTGTTTTTCCCCAGTGCTGAAAAAACCCTCAGCTAAAACTAGCCTATGCTGGTTGGCTGGTCTTAGCTGGTTTAGGCAACGTAGTGCTGTTGAGCCCCTGGGTGAAGGTGTCGGTCCATCTCGCGGTGGACACAGTGTCTCATTCGGGGTTACAGATGAGGATAAGATGTCTATCGTAACCTTAGAGGAGGAGCTTTTGTCATCTGATGCTGAAGATTCTGCTGAGCAACCCCTGGCAATAGCACCTCCATCCCCTGAGCACTCAAGGCTGGATGATTGGTATCTGGGCACCGGAAGTGCCTTTTTTCCCAGAGGTTAATGAAGAGCTCACTAAAATGTGGAAGGCACCTTACACCACCCAGTCACGTTTGAGCTCTTTCCTCCTCTCTACCATTGATGGTGGGGCAGCCAAGGGGTATGTGGACGTTCCCCAAGTGAAGCGTGTGGTTGTGGTGCACTTGTGCCTGCAAAACACCGCCACTTGGAGTAATCATCTGCAGCTCCCATCTCAGAGCGACGAATGTCATGGCGCGGTCCCTTGGGCAGGTGATGTCTACAATGGTAGTCCAGGAGCGCCATCTATGGCTGAACCTGGCTGAGATGCAGGACGCCAACAAAGTTCGCTTTACTCCCTGTCAGTTCCGATGCTTTTCTTCACCACAGACCAAGAGTATGCGGATGCAGGACGCTTTGTTTCCTTATGCTTCCCTTGCCATCTCCTTCTCTGCCTTTAATTTTAGGAAGCTATGCTGCACCACAGAGGGTATGTCAAAGATCGTCCCTCTGGTGATGCTTTCAGAGATTCCCCTGCCGTTGTAGTTGCCTGGATGCAATAGAGCCTGTCCATCCAGTCGAGATGGAGGCAGGGTTTTACAGTCTTTACTTCATCGTACCCAAGAAAAGTGGTGGGCTATGACCAATCCTGGATCAGCGAGTCTTGAATCAGTCCCTTCACAGGCTTCCACTCAAGATGTTGATGCAGAAGCACATTCTTTCTTGAGTTCGACACCAGAATTGGTTTTGCAGCGATCAACCTGAAGGACGTGCACTGTCATGTCTTGATACTGCTATGACACAGACTATTTCCCCGGTTTGAGGGTCGGGCTTATCAGTACAAGGTTCCCTTCGGGCTGTCCCTGTCTCCCCACATATTCACAAAAGCTGCGGAGGGTGCTCTGTCTCCATTACGGGAGAAGAGTATCCGAGTCCTCAACTGGCTTATATTAGCTCTCGAGATCTGTTGTGCAAGCACAGGGATAAGGTGCTTCAGCATTTCAGTCAGCTGGGGCTTGAAAAAGAACAAGCTCTTCCCTGTGCAGAGCATCTCTTTTCTCAGTATGGAGTTGGGCTCGGTCAATGTGACGGCACGTCTCACAAGGAAGCGTGCCCAGTCAGTGCTGACCTGACTGAATTCGTTCATGGGGAAAACAGCGATTCCTCTAAAACAATTTCAGAGGCTCCTCGGGCATATGGCATCTGCAGCTGTGGTAACACCTCTCGGATTGCTACATATGAGACCGCTTCAGCACTGGCTGCACAGCTGAGTCCCAATATGGTCACAGCACCGCGGCATGCATCGGGTGATTGTTTCGTCAATTTGTCCTTGTCCTTTCAGCCCCTGGACAGACCTTGCTTTTCTTCGGGCAGGGGTGCCCTTGGAGTAAGTGTCGAGGCATATTGTTGTTATAACAGATGTCTCCAGGACGGGCTGGGCAACTAAATGCCCTGCAGTGGCATATTAATTGCCTCGAGTTGCTGGCAGTACTAATTGCCCTTTGCTGGATTTGACCACTGCTACAATGCAAGCATGTACTTGGTCTGGACGGACAACACTGCGACAGTTGTGTACATCAACCATCAAGGTGGAGTACGCTCTCGTTGCATGTCACAACTTGGCCACCATCTCCTCCTTTGGAGTCCGACGCAGCTCAAATCGCTGTGTGCTATTCATGTTTCGGGGGAGCTTAACCATGCAGTTTGGATTCTGGATGGGACGTGGCAGATTTCACGGGCTTGTCACACTCATTGCTACTTTTACTTGATCTTAGTGCTGCGTTCGACACTATAGATCATGACATACTCATAGATGGATTACAAAACTATACAGGTATTCAAGGGCAGGCTTTAAGATGGTTTAGATCCTACCGGTCCGATCGCTACAATTTTGTTCATTTAAATGGGGAGTCATCTCAATTATCACCAGTAAAATATGGAGTGCCACAAGGATCTGTCCTAGGTCCTCTGCTATTTTCAATATACATGTTGCCCCTTGGTAATATTATCAAAAAATAGTTCCACTCTTATGCTGATGATACTCAACTATATATCTCAACAAGACCAGATGAAATTTCTAAATTATCTTTAAATGTAAAAGACTGGATGACCAATAATTTTCTCCTATTAAATTCGGATAAGACAGAGATATTACTTATTGGACCAAAAGACAATTTGCAACTAGACGGATGTACGGTTACTTCCTCTACAGTCAAAAATCTGGGTGTTATATTAGATAGCAACTTGTCTTTTGAAAATCATATTTCCCATGTTACAAAAAACAGCATTCTTCCATCTTAGAAACATTGCCAAGCTACGAAACATGTTACCTGTTTCTGATGCAGAAAAGCTAGTTCATGCATTCATGACCTCTAGACTGGACTATTGTAATGCACTGCTAGCTGGTTGTCCAGCATCTTCAATAAACAAGCTACAGGTAGCCCAAAATGCAGTGGCTAGAATCCTTACCAGTTCAAGAAAATATGATCATATTACCCCAATTTTACAGTCTCTGCACTGGCTACCTATTAAGTTCCGTATCAGTTACAAAATATTATTACTTGCCTATAAGGCCCTTAATGGGTTAGCTCCTGCGTACCTAACTAGTCTTCTACCACGCTACAATCCATCACGCTCCCTAAGGTCACAAAACGCTGGACTTTTGGTAGTACCTAGGATAGGAAAGTCCACTAAAGGAGGTAGAGCTTTTTCGCATCTGGCTCCCAAACTCTGGAATAGCCTTCCTGATAACGTTCGGGGTTCAGACACACTCTCTCTGTTTAAATCTAGATTAAAGACACATCTCTTTGGCCAAGCATTCAAATAATGCATCTCATAATCTATTACTGCAGTCATAATCGTTTACTGCAGTTATATCTAATCAAATGCACATTATTATTCGTTAGTTAAACAAATCATTTTTGCTTGGTTGGAACAGCAGCTACGCTAATTATGTTTGTATTTGTTTCTCTGTCTTTTGCCACGGGATTAACATCCCGTGGTAACTAGGATTCACACAAGCTTCAGTCTGGATCCAGAACACCTGAGAAGAGATGATGCAACCCCTCAGAGGACCTCAGATGATGCCAACCCTGAAACAACATACAGAACTACCACATTTTGCTATAAGTTTGATTGCATCATATAATAATTGCTGTTCATATTATTCATCGTCTGTTTTATTACATCTTAAATGGATTTTTCCATACATTTCTGCTGCTTTGCAACGATTTGTATCGTGAAAAGCGCTATACAAATAAACTTGACAACAAATTGAATTGAACTGAATTGTCACAGGCTGTGATATATATTATCACTCAGGCTAGAGCCACCCCTACTTGGCAGGCTTATGCTCTGAAGTGGAGTCTGTTCATTGATTGATGTTCTTCTCGGCGAGAAGACCCCTGAGGATACCCAGTCAGCGTTGTGCTTTCCTTCCTGCAAGGGAAGTTGGAGCGGAGGCTGTCCCTCTCCACTTTGAAAGTGTATGTCACTGCTATTGCGGCACACCACGATGAATTGGATGGAAGATCATTGGGGAGGCACGACCTGATTATCAGGTTCCTGAGGGGTGCGAGGAGGTTAATCCTCCTAGATCATGCCTCATTCCCTTTTGGGATCTCTCTGTGGTCCTGGCAGGATCTCGAACAGCCCCCTTTCATCCACTTGATTCAGTTCAAGCTTAACATCCTGTCTTTGAAGACAGTGCTTCTGGTCATGCTCACTTCCATCAAGAGGGTTGGGGACCTGCAGGCATTTTCGGTCAACAAATCGTGCCTTGAGTTTGGGCCAGCTGACTCTTACATTATCCTGAGACTCCGGCCTGGTCATGTGCCAAAAGTTCCCACCACTTCACCCCCCTTTTGAGGGTGAGAGCTCACTCCAATCGGAGTTTGGCCTCTTCCTGGGCATTAGCACACGACCCCCTCTCTAGCAGACATCTGCAGAGTTCCGGCCTGGGTGACACCTAATACTTTTGCAAAATGTTTCTTCCCATGTGTTGGGTTTAATTTGCGGCAGTATTGGCTCGATGTTTCCCTTGCGGCGCCATTCTTCTGGTTGGTGGATATGTGTGCTTTATCTTCTTCTTGTATAGTTCCCCTGTAGGGTGAACTCTGGTCGATTTCCCTCAGCACCCTGTGGCACTCAGACTCAGCGGAAGAGTCTCTTGCCAGGTTCTGTACTTGTGTTGTATGACTTTGTCACCCTCTGTAATGAATCAGGTGCCCATACATGTGATTCCCCTTGGATAGTCCTGTATGTAATTTCCAAGGTACAATTTCCTTTAGTAAACCCATTGACTTTCCCTTGACAGCCCACTGTCAACACAGGTGAATGTAACTGACTGAAGAAGGGAACGGAGATGTAATGGCCCTCATGCCACAACCTTAAACTGTACTGAATGACGGGATGCTTTCTCAGCACAAACCTGAATGAGTGGATGCGCGCTGCCATCTTATATACCCGTATGTATGGGGAGTGGCTTGGGATGCAAATTCCACTCGCCAGTCATTGGCCATTTCATGTAATGCTCAAAGGTGATTGGGGCTCCCAAGTGAGAACCCTAACCTTTGTGCCGATATAACGCCTCTGTTCCCTCCTTCAGGAAACGAGGGTTTCATTACATAACGTAACCTAAATGATTTTGGCTCATTTTGACCAGATCACTTTGTGTTGTTTTGGAAAGAATAAGCTCATGAATCAGACAACGCTCTTGCGTCTTCAAAGGGGCTGGTTATTTTTTAAGTTCAAAATAACTAGAAACAACTTCGTGTTTTGAAATGTATTGGAGTAAAAAGTATGATATTATGCTTTGTAATGTAGTGAAGTAAAAAGTAAAAGTAAAAATGTCCAAAAAATAAAGTACTCTGATAAAGTACAGAAACTTTAAAAAATACTAGTAAAAATACTCCGTTACTGTCCACCACCACTACTTGGCATATACCACTGACATCTAAACTCACATATCGTGACTGTGCTGAAAACAGTGACTATGACTGAATGTATATGTGCATGGCACAGCACTAAACCAGTGCAGCCTGTTAATTAGTACCTGGTTCAACAGTATTGTAAGTGTTTAAAATGCAGGCTTTTAGTGAATTTGCCCCATAGAGAAAGGAAATTGAATGGAATAACACTAATTGTCATTGTTGTGTTTAGGTATATGGCCATCGTTCATCCCTTGAGGCCCAGAATGAAGCACCAGACCGCATACTGTCTCATAACTGGGGTGTGGATCGTCTCAGTGCTCATTTCCATTCCCTCTGCCTACTTCGCGTCCGCAACCAAAGTCCCCAATGGAGCAAACCGCAGCAAGACCTTCTGCGCCCAGATCTGGACGGTGGACCAGCAGCTGTATTATCGCTCATATTACCTGTTTATCTTCGCCGTGGAGTTTGTGGGCCCAGTGCTCACCATGGCCCTGTGCTATCTGCGCATCTCCAGAGAGCTCTGGTTCAAGAGTGTGCCAGGTTTCCAAACGGAGCAAATCCGCAAACGCCTGCGCTGCCGGAGGAAGACTGTTATGGTGCTGATAGGCATTCTCACAGCGTACATCCTCTGCTGGGCTCCGTACTACGGCTACACCCTCCTGCGCGATTTCTACCCCACGCTCATCTCCCGAGAGAGGAACTCCCTGGTGGCTTTCTACATTATCGAGTGCATCGCCATGAGCAACAGCATGATCAACACGTTCTGCTTCGTCAGTGTAAAGAACAACACTGTCAAATATTTCAAAAGGATCGTTCTCCTTCGCTGGAAATCCACCTACACCTCCAGGAAGAGCGCAGATGAGTCAGACATCAATCCCCAACTCACCGAATGTAGAAAGGGAGCCGAGCTGAGTGGTATTCACGTCACCCATATTACAGATGATTAAAGTGAACTGATAATGCTGCTTATGGGCACTGTTCTGCAGATGAATATCGCTTGACTGATGTTATATTTTAGTGTTTTTTCTCCCTGTGAAATGCACCATTTTCATACTTTGCATGTATAATGTGTTTATGATACAGCAAAAATTATCATTTGAGTTGTTTTGCACAGATGTTTTTTATGAGTGAATTAACTACTCATCCCTTCTCAAAGCACTGAGAATGATAAAGCAATGGTTCAATATAGAACTACTGACTTATAGTTATTGATTATAAGTATAGAACCTTTTTTTTGGCAAAATATTTAGATACAATCATTTAAGCATGTGTCAGGAGACTCAACACCATTCCACAATGCTTTGTGAGAATGGCTCAGTATGCTGACATTTTTAATTGCAAATCTATGTTGTCATGGTAACAGCCTTTTCTGGTTGGTGAAGGGTTTATTCTGGATTATGGGTAGTGTAGTTATTTACATGAAAATGTAAACATTTTCATATGGTACGTTCATATGGTATTGTTAAAAATCAATTTCTCTATGAAGAAAATTTGTGGGATTTTTTACAAAACTGTTATGCTCGATTGTTGAAAATAACTAAATACAATCTTTTTCAGAAGTATTTGTACAAATACATTTATGGCCTCATTGAACCACCACTCATTAGTTTACTGTTACATAATATAGATTATTTAAAAACCAGTCTGATTAGTGAGGTCCTTTATCAGTGGATGTTTTATATATAAAAGTTTATCTTTACTTGGTTCTGAAATGTGGTTGTTTGCTGTCTTTTGTGTTGGTTAGTACAGTATCTGCATGCATTCTAGCCAAATAAAGTAGAACCTGAGAACCAACCCATGTGTCATGAAGAGTCCTCGAAATTTAGAGTCATAATTCAAGAAGCCATATCGACCAGTTTAGAGGTAATGTCAGGATGTTCAATCTCACATAACCTACGAGTTATATTTCTGTTTGCTCTTTAAAGCAGGGTCTATTTATCTAAGGTCCAAGGACAGTTCATGCATAATTTATAGATTCTGTCAATACTCAACCTTGAGCAAGGCACCGAACCCCCAACTGCTCCCTGGGCGCCGCAGCATAAATGGCTGCCCACTGCTCCGGGTGTGTGTTCACGGTTTGTGTGTGTTCACTGCTGTGTGTGTGCACTTAGGATGGGTAAATGCAGAGCACTAATTCCGAGTATGGGTCACCATACTTGGCCACATGTCACGTCACTTTCACTTTTAGCATATTGCTGTTGGGTCCATTTTTAAAGCAGTAAGCCGTTCAAAGCCATGCTGTGATTTTACCACAGTTAAGGGGGTTTTAGTTACTCCACTTCTTAACATGCAGAACAATAACCCCACAGTAAAATCATTGCTTGTTGTGGCTTTATTGCTTTAGTAAATCACTTCTGCTGTAGACAAAATTATGAATGCTTAACAGACATTATCATTATTTTTACCTTCCAATTTTAAGCTAACACGGATTGACCTTTTCGAGAACTGTCTGGCAGTGAATGTGCTAATGTCCCTGATTCATTTAGAGATGGTCATTTCGTGTTCTTAGTCTAATGGAATTTGCAGCTCTTGTCTGAGATAATTGTGTAAAACTCATAGATGATTATTTGTTATTGCCGTAAGCAGCTCTTATCAGACCTGTTAGTCTTTCGTGCTTTTAGTCAAACTGCAAATTAACACAAAAATAGGCTGATTCCTGTGTTTTGGGCGGTTGTTTGCAAGCAGATCTAAACTGTCATGATTAAGTCATACACTGACTCAAACAGAAACACAATAACGGGGTCACAGAAAGCTACAAAATCAATGAATTATATATGAGTCTTGTCTTAATTATCTTACCTGCTCTTTCTAGATCCACTGCCTGAATAAGTTCCCACTGAAGAAAGTTCACAGCTCTCACAGGGAGATGAGAAGGATGGGTGAATTTTATATGGAGGATGACAGTCAGGGGTTTGGAACTAAGAATACTTTAAATTCCCTCAAAAGAAAAACAGTTTTTAGCCAAAAATCCATCTTGACAAACTTTAATTATAGAAAACTTGATTGCTAAGCAAAGTTTAATTGCTGAATTTCAGGTGAAGAACGTAATCCTGAGAAGAGATTCACTAAGTTACTGTTACCATGGAAATGGCAAAAGAGCTTAGCAGCGACCTAGTCACAAATGAAGTAATTGCTCCTGTTCACCCTTTCTGACTTGGTCATTACAGGTACAGTACTTTGGTAGCTTAAGTCTACCTCACAGGCAGATTCATCAAGGTTTCATAGAGAGCAGGGTGTGTGAGTCACATCACCTAATCACTGAGGTGCCTCAAGGTTCAGTGCTTGGTCAACTCCTTTTCTAGACAGAGCCCCTTCTAATTTCTGCCAACCCATCGGCCGACCACAATAGAACTTTCACACTGTGTTTAACCCCAGTTATCATCGTTCTGTCCCCCCATTTGACCCTGGGTAAAGGCAGGTTTCACACTTGTAATTTAGAAGCAGCACTAGCACTGGGGTTATGAAACCCTGCTCCAGAGCAGGATAAGCTCTGCTTTTGTGGTGTTAACCCTGCATAACGGTGTCAAATGTGTTCAGTATGAAACGATGTGTTGTTTGAATGTTATCATTAGATGATTGGCAACAGACGGCAATAGTGTGCCTCATATTCATGTGCTTTGGACAGCCATGGAAAGTCATTTCAGTGTTTAAGGGGAAAAATGTCAAATCATGACAGAAAATGTTAACTGAAGTGAAACAGAAACCATTTAGTTTTTACCTTTATAGTCTGAAAAGTCCATTCAAGAAAAAACGTGATAGTACAGTACGTTATATAAGGATGCGCAATACTAGAGCCGTTACAAACAGGTCGAGTTCTGCGTTTGTCTGATCAATGACACTAACACTGCAAATAAGAACCTGGGGTTTAGGAATGTATAGTGGGAAACGTCAGCTAATGAATACACAGGATCAATTGTTAACCCCAGGTAAATTGTGAGCAGTGAGAAACGTGACGATAACTCACTCCACAACACTAATGCAAACAAGACAGCAAGGAACCTGGGAATACTGTTTGAGGACTTACTGAGCTTTACCACCCATGGTTGTGTAGGTTGGTGCATT